AAAATAAAATAAAATAAAATAAAATAAAATAAAATAAAATAAAATAAAATAAAATATGTTTTTGCCTATAATTTTTTTGTTTGTTTGTTTTTCAAAAATAATTTCAGAACCACACGCTTAGCGTTTCATTACCCCAAATCTGCAGTCCCATCTGTCTTCGGGTATCAAAGTAAATTTATACCGTTGTATGTTTTGCAGTGTTTTTATTCATTACTTAATTACTCATTCCGTCCTTCTTTAAAAAAAATAATTAATTCAAAATGAAAGATTTTGTTTGTATGTTTTTATGCTGGATAAAAAAAACAACTCTTTCACATTTTATATTAAACAATTCATTCCAGTTGCTGAGGATTGTTGATTAACATTAATTGCGTATTACTACCATCTACAGGGCAAATTGTATATTACTACGTTGCCATGTTAAAAACACAAAACTTAACTGTGCTAAATAACAAACTGTGCTAAAGAAAAAAGGAAACATCCTCCATTTCTGTTTTATTCTAATCTTTTTTACAAGAAACCATGATAACTAATGAAAAAAGATTTAATTTTGTTTGCATGCTAAAGTAATTTCAGTAAAAATAAATACACAGACTAACATTTACTGAATATACAGTGATGAACAGAGAGTAAAAAAATTGCTTTCCTCTTTCCTCCTCTCATATGTGAAAAACTGACTCAGCATCTTCATTTTTTTCTCTGATCGAGACGTGCAAATAATCCTTCAATCATTTCTTTAATTTAAAATGTGCTATATCTGAGCGATAAATCACACTGATGGAAAGAGAAGTTCAGATAAAGATTGTATCTGCACAGACATTGTTAGTTTGATATTAAAATAAACTTTACTGGGGCGGTGGGGTGTCTGTCAGACGTCCTGCAGGCTGATAAAACGGGATGTTTCTTTCTGTAATTGAAATCAGCCCAAATAAAGTCAACGACTGAGAAAAATTGTTTCTTGACTTTGTCTGAATGCTTAAAAAATGCCAAACACTAATATTTGTGATGTATCCTGGGAATTACAACTCAGTATTAACCATAGAATCACATGTAAAATGTCTTATCTTGACCTATTTTTTTGGTAAAACTCCTCTGAGGACAATCAACTTCTGACCCATTTTATACAACTTTTAGTAACCTTATGGGTCACTGTGGGGCACTGAACTTTCTGCCCATTACTCCTTAAGGAAAAAAGAGAAGTTCATGTTTGGTTAATGGTCCTGCAGCTACTTGAGAATTACAATTCATTAAAATGTTCACAGGACAAGAGTGAATAATTTTAAGGAAACCAGCGGTGGGCATTATGCAACTGTAGCAAATGTGATTGAGCAGCAGGACACTATCATAAGTGCTCAAACTGTTCCAATTTCCTCACCCAGAAAAAGAAACTGCTCCAGTTTATTTCCATGAGCTCTGTTAGGGAATCTGAAATGTTCCAGGTGGGAAAATAAAAATGGAGTTTAGAGACATTTCTTCAGTTTTTTTTAATAAAACAGTTATCTAGACACACAAATCCAATTATAGTAGGTTTCAATTGATTGTTAAAATGCCAGTTTATACAGGGCTGTACATCTAAACCAGGGGTATATGCGAACATATTACAGGGGGTACATGGAAAAATTTCCCAGGTGTATAAAAAAATAAATAAAAATAGGAGATATGTAGGACCCTGTGATTTCTTCAATAATATTGTATAATATCTAATAATAATAATTTTAATTTAATAATCAGTTGTAGTGCATTATAGTTTTGGAGAATCATCATTACCTTTGACTGAAGGGGTACTAGTGGTATGACAAAATGGCTCGGTGGTACATAAGTCTAAAAATATCGGGAACCACTGGTATAAAGTCCTGAAACATTCCAGCACTTTCAGGACCTTGGACAGTTCCTTCAGCCCTTCTCACTGTCTGAAGTCCTAAAACATTTTAGCACTTTCAGGACCTTGGGCAGTTCCTTCAGCCCTTCACACTTTCTAAAGTCCTAAAATATTCCAGCACTTTCAGGACCTTGGACAGTTCCTTCAGCCCTGCACACTGTCTAAAGTCCTGAAACTTCCCAGCACTTTCAGGACCTTGGACAGTTCCTTCAGCCCTGCACACTGTCTAAAGTCCTGAAACTTCCCAGCACTTTCAGGACCTTGAACAGTTCCTTCAGCCCTTCACACTATCTAAAGCAGTGATTCCCAACCAGGGATACACGAGCATTTGTTGTGTAAAAAATAAACTGAGATTTGTAGGGCCCTATGATTTCCGTAATGGGAATTTGCATTAGGAATCATGGAATTAACACAGAATGCAATCCAGTATAAAACGTGTAATCTCACAGAATTTGCTCATTAGGTTGAGTTTCTGACCTATTTGGACAATACAATGTATTTTGGCTGCTGCTGTTTTCTACACCTACCAATTACCTGGTTTATTTATTTAAATTTATTTATTTAAATTTACTTATTCACTTTCAAGGCAACATTTTTTATCTTTATGTTTAATGTATTTCAGTTGAAAAAATAAAACTCCTGAGAAATAAACATTCTAGGGGTTGAATAAATTAAGCAGTTGTAGTACATTATAGTTTTGGAGAATCATCATCACATTTGACTGAAGGAGTACTAGTGGTATGAAAAAATGGCTCGGGGTAAACAAGTCTAAAAAGATTGGGAACCACTGGTCTAAAGCAGCAGATTGCATTGAAGTTTTTGAATGCCAAAGGCTGCAAATGAAACTGAAAGATCGGATTGTTCATGTTTTGGTAAGTCCAATGCCACAGTGTTCCAGAGAGACCTTATTTTGAGTCAGAATGATTTTTTTCATTAAGAATAAAACACCATCCTTCCGCTCAGTTGGAATAATCACATAAAGTGTTGTGATTTCTTGACATATAACATTTTAAGAAAAGTGGAGAGCACATTCTTCTAACCCAGCAAAAAAATTCCTTCCACGTTTTTTTTCCTTTGGGGAAATGTCAGCCTGCTCTCAGAAATCTCAAAGAATGTCCTGTGACCTATTAGTTGGTGGTTACGTTTTTCATTTTATAGATGGTACCCCGTGTGCCATGCCACTTGTCTCTGACAAAGTTGATACTGCATAAGAAAGTCAGACTATATCAAAGCAAAAGTTACTGAAAGCTTCTTAGCAGGAAGTTAGCAGGCTACATAATAGTTTATCAGTGGGAGCCACTTGAAATGTCTTTTAAACTCTAAACACCATGCCAAAGTGCAAAAAAGAGACCATATATCAACAGCATATATATATAT